TTTGAGGAGAGGATCTGTAAATTGGGTGGATTGTGGGAAGTGTTAGAGGACAGTTAAAGTAGGATGAGCCGTGAAAGAAAAAATACTGAGTTTTCTAAAGTCACAATTTATTGGTGGCCAACAGCCACCAAAGTCTGAAAATATGTACACTTTATACACGGTTGAATGTCTCTAGAAAGTTATTAATTGATTTACTGAATTTATACTGATAATTATTTAACTGCGTTGATTGACTCTAGACTGAATTTATAAAACTGAATAAATGAACTGAGTTGATGTACTGATCGCAACTGTACTAATACTATACCTCTTCCACAGGTGATTTGCTCGAGATAGACTTATACCGTGAGAGGCTAAGCCTAAACTGATTCGCGCGTGTTTCGGTCACTTATGACTGATGACCCGAAGGGTCCCGGAGATTTTCGAAGTAGGCCGCGCTAGTCGACCAGAATGTTCTGGAATTTTAGTTGCGTTTCAAACCTTTTTTGTAGAGCAAATTGAGTGCTACTAAAAAGCTTATAAGAAAAATTTTGCTATCTCCCTTAGATTTCGTGATATTCATTGAAAACTGGCCAATAACCAAAATCGACTTAAACCGTTTGACCACTTCACTACTGATTTTAATTTGAGTTTTTGATTTTTTTGTTATATCAACTCATTGTGATCCAAAAAGTCCGAAATAGTATATTCCATGACTTGTGCGCAAAGTGAAATTTTAGGCTTGCTTCGCAAAATACCACTTTTCACACATTGCAATGAAAAATAGAGTTCGACACTCGTGGGAAAATTGTTCTTTGACCCTTGGGAGGGTTAAGAAACACTTTTTTGACACAGCTGCTACGTTCACCTCGTGCCGAAAAGGGCCTTTTCGTTTACTCGTAAACGAATAGGTTTTTTTCAGGTCCCTCGACACGAAAATTAATATACACACCTCGCCATGGAAAACATATCACCCTCCCCCACGTGCTTGCCATCCTCGCCTTCGGCTCGGAAGGCAATCTTGCATGTGGGGGACGGTGATCTGTTTTCCAAGGCTCGGGCATGTAATGTACTATTTATTACGCTGTGCAAAAAAGTAACTTTTTAGGCACACGAAGCGTGCCTAAAACGTCTGTTTTCCGCACATGGTGATGAAAACTGTTGTTCGATACTCATGAGAAAAGTGTTTTTTCATCACACTGTCTGTAAAACGTCGTTTTACGGACACTTCGTGTCCGTCAATAGTATATTTCAGCACATGTGGGGCAATATCGTCTTTAACGTGTGTGGGGTTTACAGCATGAGCCGAAGGCGAGTGATGTAACCACACACGTTAAAGGCGTAATTTCCCAACAAGTACTGAACAAAATTTTATGTCACGAAGCCTGAAACCGGCTGAATTAGACACGAGACGCGAAGCGTCGAGTGTGTAATCCAGCCGGTTTCAGGTATGAGTGGCGTAAAAGCTGTTTACAGACATTGTGACAACAAATTATATTCGTCAATCGGTCGAAAACAACTTTTCCGACTAGTGCCCGAGTAGAAATTTCGTCAGGCAGGCCTTTCGGCATCGATACGGTATACCTGATTACGGCATGCCAGACCAGGGCCTGAAGGGGACCATTGCATGTTCACCTTACCAATAAATTCCAAACTTTAAGCAGGCATGCCTGATCATGCCCCAGTCAGGGCCTTTTGAGCGTACCGTGTTTGGAAAAACAAATGATAATTCTTAAAGTTAAAGTTAGTTCCTATATAATAGTATATTATGCCACCAGGCGATAAAAATATTATCTGGCGAATGTGGATTATAATCCGAGCGGAAGGCGAGGATTATAATCACATTCGCCAGATAATGCTTTTATCGCCGTGTGGCATACAGTATTTTATGTCGTTGGGCCCAAGAAAACCGCGATTCTAACCGAGCGAAGCGAGGGCCCAACGACATAAATGCTGTTGCACTGTTCGTAGGAAGACAAGGAGATATTGTGACTAGCACTAAGTGATTAAATGATAATTGCAAATAGATTTCTAAGGACTCTGGGGTCGTATGTTTCTGTTATGCACCAGTAAATGGTCAGTAAGAACTGGTTATTACATTATGTCCTAACCACTACGCTATCACGCTATTACTATTGAGTAAACTGTACATTGCCTATATGATTTGTATTGGGGTATTCGTTGAATTTACGATTATTCCTGATCTCCCGGATGTGCGCGTGTATTCTCAGAGATAAAATATGTTCAATTAAATTTTTATTTATTTCATTAATGAATAATAATAATGATAATAACAATAATTCTAATAAATAAATAGACATTTCGTGATTTTTTTTTCAAGATCATTTGCGTGTAAGTTTGATACTCCTCTAATACGTATTTACGACATCATGATCCCTCCCTTCTGTATATTTGGGAAGGGCTGCCTGTTACTTAAATTGATTAATTAAATTAAATTCATTAAATTAAATTACTTCAATTTTTTGTAATTATAGTATAATGATCCTTTTTAAAGATTGAAAATAATTATTGATAATGGTTGATAAAACTTAATTGGAATAGTATAATAATAGTTAATTAAATTATCCGAAAAACTTATTAAAATTAATGTCAGGTGGACCGGATCTGAATCTGATCATTTTCTCTTCAATTGACCCCGTTCAAATGCCGATCAAAGACATCAAATCCGAATTTGATCAAATTGGGGTCAGGAAGTCGACCTGAGGGTGAGATCGTGCCTACCTGATCAGAACTTGATCTGAATCATCCTGNAAGTCGACCTGAGGATGAGATCGTGCCTACCTGATCAGAACTTGATCTGAATCATCCTGCAGTTTTTCGGATGCGATCTACTGGATCAAAACTTGGTCAGGTTCTCATCAGGTATCATCTGATCATGTCTACCTGATCAGAACTTCATCTGAACCCGCCTGTAGATTTTCGGATCCGATCTGCTGGATCAGAACTTGGTCAGGTTCTGATCAGGCATCATCTGATCATGTCTACCTAATCAGAACTTGATCCGAACCCGCCTGCAGTTTTTCGGATCCGATCTGCTGGATCAGAACTTGGTCAGCTTCTCATCAGGAATCACCGGATCAGTCGAACCTTACCAAAACCTGATCAAGTTCTGATCATGCTTCAGATGGGCCTGAAGCAATTTCTACTCGGGAGCTGCTCTGGGTGATTTTTTTTTCTTTTTTTTTCTCGACCCGCCCATTCTGGGAATAGGCAGGAATGGGCACTATTTATTCATTTATTATTCATTTTTGGCCCAATTTAATAATTCAGTTAGCAATTCATTAATTTGTAGCAGTCTATGCCAGGTAAGGGCGAAACCAGGCCGCCTGCCACGGCCTTTATCAGGTTTAGAAATCAGGTCCTGATCATGTTTTGCGTTACATTTCCTATCAGGCCCTGATTTGGTAACCGTAACAGGGCCGAATCTTTTCTACGGCACAGCAGACCAGGGCCTGACCTGCTAAATACTAAAATTTCTACTCGGGTGTGATAGCGTTCCTCGGCTTCGTCTCGGTCTGCAACCCTCACACTCGTCAGAAAAGTTTTTTTCGCTCTTGTGACGAAAATAGCTATTTGGCTCGTGGGATTGTATCACTCGTCTTCGGCTTGTACTATAAACTTCCCACGAGCCAAAAAACATTTTTCCGCACTAGTATCAAAATATACTATTTCATCACAATGTGCCGGAAAGTGGACTTTTAGGCACGCGGAGCGTGCCGAAAAGTTCACTTTTCGTCACAGCATGATGAAATAGTATATTTCGTAACGAGTGCAAAAAAGTGTTTTTTGGCGAGTGGGAGGTTTATATCACGAGCCGAAGGCGAGTGATATAATCCCACGAGCATTTAAAACATTTTTTCACGAGTTACGAACAATATTTTTCATCACAATGTGGTGGAAATTCACACCATGATGAAAAAGACTTTGTGACATTGTCCATCATTTCAAAGACTTTGTTCATTCATGAATGTTTACTCCTGACTAAAAATTTGTTAAAATCTACATTTCATGACTTTTACCCTGACGATGGAGACCCGAACGGTCGGCTGAACAAAGAAATGTCGACGACTGTAGAGAGACTGATTGGTGGCCCACCGAATCCCTCGATCCTCACCAATCCACTCACCAATTTTCGTCGCATGCGTAAAATTCCTCGCCTTCGACCACCATTCCCGGATGACATTCGAGTCGCAGCAGGAAATAAGTATTTCTGAATTGAACCTCAGATTGAACAAGTTCCTATGCGGGTGACGACAGAATTCACAGACGCTCTCATCCGCGTCTTTCGTGAATATTAGCAGCCAGACAGGGTAACTCATGTCCAATTTCTTGGCAATTCCCTCGAAGATGTGCACATCTTCTATTTTCCTCATGAGAACCACAGCCAATGGACGGACAGTTCGTCTGGTGTAAAACTTTAATCTCACTTTGAAGTTCGCGAAACTCACGAAGGCCGTTGGTATTCCTTTATCCGACAGAATTGTGCATGTTTCATGCCAAGTTGTTAGTCTTGCGGGTGCTATAGTAAATTTCGATATGAATATGTGTGAAATACAGTAATTTCTCTATTGTGTTTGGATGTAAAGAAATTTTTTCATGAACAATTGCTCCTAAAATGATATTATTTATTTATTTATTTATTCATTGTTTTATTGGGTGGCTGGAGTTTTTTCCCCTAGCTTTGAAAAATTCCCGGAATTTTTTTCCCCGGCGAATTTTTCCCTTGGAACTTTTTCCCCCGTCAATCCTCTCTCTGCGAATTGTTCTCATTGAGATTAATTTTTCTTACGAATTTTTTTCATGTGAATTTCTTTTTTTTTCTCTTAGAAGAACAAAAATGAAAAAACTAATGACAAAAATCTTTTTTTTTATTCGCAATTGTTTAGTCAATTCATTGTTTACCGACCAATGTTGATATGTACATTTTCAATTCAGATTCAATTTTTCGTATGTTGCTGATTATATTGAAGATTAATAATTTTAGCTTGTTAGTTATCTTGTGCGATTGTAGATGTTCTATTTGAAGAATTTCATCCTATTTTGACCAAAAGGTGTATGTAAATTATTCATGATGTTCAGAAATTGTCGACTTCAATAAAATAATGGATATTGCGAATGTGTCTGATTTCATATTTTCCAGAAAAATTTTACCTTTATTTTTCTAGGGGACATGGGAACTTTTCTGAGCAACATTTTTTCGGGGGAAAAATTTTTCGGGAATTTTTCTCGGGGCATTTTTCACGGGGAAAAAATCCGGGAACCGATTTATTGTCTGAACTTTTACAAAAAGTCTGGTAAAAAATGCAATAATTCTGGTGAAAATTTCAATAAATTTCAAATTCCAATAAAAAAAATTCTCTCCGTCCAGTTCTTCAATTACTCACATTGATAATTAGTACTCGATGCTATGATAATTCCGGCAGTGCCATATGTATCATGAACGCTCTCGAATAAAGATGTGTAATAAACAACTGTGTCATTTCCAGCAACAAAAAACACGTAAATACCAGTGAGATACAGTTCCAATGAGATGAACAACTTCATGTTCAAGTGTAGAACTCGATTACGAGGGAGATGCTAATTTCACGCACGAAAAATTTTCATAGAAAAGCATAACGAATTCGATAGAAAATTCTACTGAAGTTCTATTGAAGGTTCTGTTAGCCTTGGACCGATTGTATCTAAAGATTCTGCAGGTGTAGTGTGGATTTTTTAATAGACAATATTCAATAGAAGCTATTTTATAAAAAAAGTCAGTAGAATGTTATCTTCCTATGTAACTTTTTCTTTTGAGACATTTTCTGTAGAAAACCTTCGACATGAATTTTATATTTTTACCACTCTATTTCCACTCAATAGAAAAATCGAACTCTATTGATTTTTTCTAACGAATATTTTCCATTGCATATCTCTATTGAAAAAAAACACGCAGATAAGCTGTGCAATTTTTCAATAGAATCGACCAAAAACTAATAGAAATCCAATAGAATTCTCTAGCAAATTCGCTAGGTTTTTTTATGAAATATTTCGTGCGTGTTACACCGAGGAAGGGTTGCAAACTAGTGCAGATTCGCACCCAATATCGCAAGATCTGCATTCTGTCACGCCTTGACATGCATATATTACTCTTTCGATCGGGCTAGACCATGCGTTACGTACAAATTGAATGATTTCCACTGATAGCATGCGACTCATTTTTACACAACAGTGAACAAAGAGGTGCTGGTGCTCCCAAGGAACAGCAAATGGAAATTCGTTTGCACTTCCCTCTATTCACAGTAGTGCGAGAATGACATAGATATTGTTTTAATTTTTTTCTGCATTTTCCTTAGAATTGTTCGATTTTTTCGTTTTATATGATTTCGGATCAGGGATGGGCAATAATATTAGATTTTGACAATATTAAAAAGGGATTATCTTCTTATATTGTTCAAAGTTTAACTATATTTAACAAGTTTAAAATATAAAATTTATTAACTAAATTTTCCGATTAATGGTGAATAAAATATTTGATAATATTGAAATGTAATTTTTTAGTTAACAAGCTAATTATAAATTTAGGTTCTTGATTTGCGATTATCCAAATAATCGTCAATTTGCCTACCTAAATTATTGGTTGATAGAATATTGCGATATTTAAATGTACAAATTGATGGTTAATTTAATATTTAAAATTTTAAGATTTATGTTAAAAATTGACAACTTCACAATTTAATGGTAATTATGATTGATTGATATGCCTATCACTAGAGGGTATCTCTAATTCGGGAACATACCTATTTTGCCTATGTACCTCAGACGAGAATCTTCAATGGAAAACTTTACAATTTACTTTTCATTCCTTGTGCGTGAAGTGAAATTTTAAATACGCTCCGCACATTGCGATGAAAACCTGAGTTTGACGCTCGTGGAAAAAATAGGGTTCCTTGACCCTTGGAAGAGTAGCACACGTATCGAATTATACTATTGTAAAGCCAGGACAGACGACCCGCATTATTATCCCCCTAGCATTGTTGATTAATATAGTATATCTCGATACAAGTGCGACGGGTTTTTCAGAAGTGAGAAGTTGTATGCTTCCGAATGATTTCAGCATAATAATTTTTTTTTACTCTCAGATATTTCTCCGCATTTTTTCAAGTTGTGCCTTTCTCGCCCCCCGTCTAAAATCTTTTCAACCTTCTGCATCCCATTTGCTAAAGGTCTGAGGAAAACCCAAGTTAGGAGAAAACTTGACCAAAGTCGTCCCTTCCGAGACTCCTAAATTACTTTCCGTAATTACATTAATTTAAAAAACAACCAAAAAATAGAAATATCTCGGCAACTCTGCATGGACAGGTATGCAGATTTTGATTGATTAAGATGGAAGACATCAAGACGTATATTTTGAAAAAAAAATTGAAATCGGTTGAGTAGTTTTTGAAATATTCAAGAAAATAAATTTTTCTGTACTGCTTCTCACGATTTGTCGTCTGGGAATTGGTATTGCATACTTCCCAGACTCGAAAACTTGAAAATCACTGCAATAAAATCTTGTCCCGGGCTGCTGCGATGGGGTTTTTTTACTCGTGTGGTTGGCCAGTCCTCGCCTTCGACTCGGACACCAACCCCACACGAGTAAAAAACCCCATCGCAGCAGCCCGGAAAAATACTATAGATACAAACTTGGACATCTCCTAATATTACCATCCGATTTAGCCCATTCTCAATACGAAACATTCTAGTGCAAAGAGGAAACTTCATGCCAAATTTCGAATTAATATATCGATTTTTGCAAAAGTGAGAGTACTAAGAAGGATTTTGTGCGAAAAACCAATAAATGGTAATATCTCGGACACTTTATACAAACGGGTATGCATATTTTGATTGATAGAGATAGAAGACATCGAGACGAATATTTAGAAAAAAAGAGAAATTGAAATGGATTGAGTAGTTGTTGAGATATTTGCGAAAAACGATTTAGAAACAAATGGCGATTTCTTAAAAGCGGCTGGATCGATTGGACTGAAATTGAGCACAGAGGTAGTTTTCATTAACACTTGTAATGAGACAAAATTTCAGATTTTTGCTTCCGAAGGGAAGCATTATTGCTTCCGAAGGGAAGCATTATTTTTGGTCGATTTTTCGATTTTCTAATTTTCATTGCAAATGATCTAGAATGTCATGAAACGTGAAAAAATGATGTTTTTGAGGTTGCGTCTGTACGTATGTATGTGCAGAATGGCTGTTTTGGGGGTTTATTTTTAGAAATTTTAACATAAATACGGTGAAATTCGCAGATAAAAACTTGAAATTTTTACTGATGATAGCTATGAATAAGCCCCACTTTGTGGCTCCATTTGGGCTCAATCGGTCCAGTAGTTCCTGAGATATTGCCAATTGTTTAAATTTCGTTTTTCAGCTATATCTCCTCAATAAATGCACCGATTTCAACTTTTTTTTTTCAAAATATTCGTCTCGATGATCTCTACCTGAATCGTTCATAACACATAGACCAATCACTGCTGAGTCTAGGAATATTGCCGTTAATCGGTTTTTTTGTGAAAAACGTTGTGCGCGCGATAACTCGATAAAAAATGTTAATATCGATTTGAAATTTGGTATGCTTGTAGCTTTTATGACATAGATGGATGGTATTTTGAATGGGCAAAATCGACCGAGCGGTTCGCGAGATATTCAATTTTTTGTAGAAATCCATTTTGGCAAATATCTCCTTAACTATTCGAGGGATTAAATTTTTTTTTTTTTTGAAATACTCGTCCCAATGACCTCCATCTGAAGCACCCATAATATATCGAACAATCGCTGTTGAGTCTAGAGATATTGCCGTTAATCTGTTTTTTTGCGAAAAACGTTGTGCGCGCGATAACTCGATAAAAAAGGTTGTTGTTGACTTGAAATTTGGTATGTTCGTAGCTTTCATGACATAGACGAATGGTATTTTGAATGGGCAAAATCGACCGAGCGGTTCGCGAGATATTCAATTTTTTGTGGAAACCCATTTTGGCCAATAACTCCTTTACTTCTCGAGGGATTAAAATTTTTTTTTTTTTTAAATACTTGTCTCGATGACCTCCTATTCCATATGAAAGAAGAAAAGTTGCACTATGGAATACCATCTGGAATGAGAATGATTTTTTTGAATTCGAATGGGACGTGTATTCATCAGCACAGATCAGTCTGTTTTGGAAAATACGAATGAAATCGAGAGAAATAATTGAATCGGAGTAAAACCACATAATTTTACATATGAAATTTTTAAGAGGACGAAATGATTTTATATACTACGGTTGAAATAATAAAAATAAAAAATAGACGATGCACTTCTTCCCTTCGGAAGCTTATAACCAATGTAATTGGTAGCAGAAAAATGAAGACTTTTGACATAACAGTGTGGTGTCACAAGTCTTCTGTCGAATAGGGTCGGTCGCCTGCTTGTTTTGGAATTATTTTAGTCCTTTAATTCTTCAATTGTCTAAAAGTTGACCAGCAGGTGGACACCCACACATGCACACGATATGATCAAACTTCGTATTTTTACGTTTCAGACCATTTTACATCATTTCTAAGCAAAATTAGAGAATATAAAAACAGAACGATTTCAATGCTTCCATTCGGAAGCAAAAGTGATACATCAAAAAGTAAACAGTATGGTACTTTTAGTCGGAAAACTATTCGTTTAATGATACAATTCGTCAAGATATAATTCCTCCAAAGAACAACATCTAATTGATCTAATTTTTCCTACGATATTCAATATTAAAATTTCATCATTAGGTGAACATCAATATGAACACAAACCAAGAACTCAACGGAATAAATGTCAACACGCTAGATAATCTCACTGTTTATTCCTTCATTTCATTGCATCCTTTTACAACAAATTATTTTATCTATTAGTTCATTATTTAATCAATTCATCAATTAATTCATTAAAATCCAGCGACATTTTCATATCACGGAATCACAGCTTCCCGAGCGAAATGAACATGTCTGTCTTTTCTGCAACTGAATTTTTTTATCTTGTAATTTCTAAATTTATTCCTGAGATAATGGAAAATGTGCTCCATCAGGAAGATAACCAGAGCTATGAAGAATCCACCAGTTAAAACACACAGAATCGGTGCTATTTCCCATTGATCCACGGGTGGATGAGAGAGTTCGGGTGAATCCTCTTGTCTGAAGTACTCTTGTTTGAGTCGCTCGAGGATTCCGTTGTCCTTGAATCGCTGAATACTTGAAAGAAAAAATGAAGTATCATTTATTATAATCATTATTATTGTTGATTTATTCACTCTTTTATTTACTTTCTATATTTTTTATTTAAATAATTTAAAAAATTATTATGTTATTTATGCATTTATTTAACCACTACACATTATAATACATGGTATTAATTCATACAAATACTTCAATAGAAATTCACATCCATAGGGACAGCAAAACGCAAACTAAACATAATATTGGAAGAGAAGAGACCAAGATAAAAGATGAAAATTGGTTATTATAAAAATTATAAATGCATATCTATTTTATCTATTATTTATTCATTTATTTATTTATTTATTCATTTTTTCAAATTTTATCTATATGTTTATCTATGAATAAAATTGCCTTTAAAAGTTGAAATAGAACTAGATTTTAAGAATAAAAATTTTCAAGCTAATATAAACTTGACATATTTACAAGTCTAGCATAAGTTGGCGAGATAGATTGCTGCCTGAAAATATTTTACCTATTTTTCAATAGAGGATCATTTTTTCCACAAGAATTTAACTTACTGGAAATTAACTAGAGCTGTATATTCACTGCGCAGTGGCATAATCATTCCCAAGGTTTCGATTCTTCCTGTTTTGATGGAAGCTATTTCGCATGGCATGGGCGCTAGCACGGCATCCTTCATAGCTTCATTCGTGATGAATGCAACTCTTCCATTGCACACCTAAACATCGCAATTCCAAGAATTAATCCTGAATAAAGAGAGTCCCTTGGGTCAATTCACCTGCTGAAATCCTTCTTCAAGAGTTTGAGGGAGTTGGTAGTATGGCTTCATGAGTGACATCAATTTGTTTGCGATTGTCTCGTTCGAAGTCTGTAGGATGGTAACGAAGTGAATTGATGATTATTCGAATATTATATCCATGCATCATGTATGTCTTTACCAATGTGACAATTAGAAATAAAATTCGACAAAAGAATTTCACGACTTGAAAAAATTTGAAAAAAAAAAACTCAAATCTCTTGAATCCTAAAAAACTTGAAAAATCTTTAGGAAAATGATTTTCAAAGAATTTTTTGTGATACCTGCCTGAAAAGTGCACTTTTCGAATCGGTTTAGTGTGCGTAAAACGGTTGTTTTCCGTACACCTTCATTACGCGCTTCGTGTATAGAACGTCTACAAAAACAATCACTTTACTCCCACTAGCGGTCCGAATTGTGAACTCGGCAGAAAATAGGATGTGTTACATGTGCGTGCGAAATAGTTATTTTCATCTCAAAGCTGAAAAAAACTTTTTCATCACTCTGTCCGTAAAACGTCGTTTTACGGACACTTCATATTCGTCAAACGCCGTTTACGGACATTGTGAAGAAATAATATGTTTCGTTATATCGAATTATATTTTTTGTCATAACGGGCGTAGGCAGCAATTTACGAACACGTAGCGTTCGTAAAGGGCTGTCTTACGGCCGAAATGGCAAAATAGTATATTATGTCATCAGGCGATAACACGCCTGACACACCCGCCACTCGCTTTCGGCTCGGATTATAAAGCCACATTCGCCAAATAATGCTTTTATCGCCATGTGACATACGATATTTTATGTCGTTGAGGCCGAAAATCGCGATCTAACCGAGTGAAGCGATGTTAGAATCGCGCTTTTTTCAGACCTAATGACATAAAATATCATTCCACATACGGCCTAAGAAAACTTTTCTGCCTCCTGCGATTGCATTCCTCGGCTTCCCCTCTGTCTGTAACCCTGACACTCGTCAGAAAAGTTTTTTTCGCCCTTCTGAAGAAAATAGCTATTTTGACACTGTTGCTACATTCACCTCGTGTCGAAAAGTCTCTTTTCGTTTACTTGTAAACAAAAAAGGCACAGTTCGGCCACTCGTTGAACGTAACATCATTGTCAAAAAGTATTGTTCGACACATGTAAGACGGGAATGTTTAACGCGTGTGATTTCCAGCCCTCTTCATCACTTTCCACTCGTGAAAATTCGGTCTCACTCGTATCGAAATATACTATTCTGACGAGTGTGAGCATTGCAGACCGAGTCGAAGCCGAGGGATGCAATCACAGGAGTCAGTAGAGTTGTTTTCCACCGAGTAACGAACATATTTTTTCTTCACAATCTCCGTAAACGACTTTTTACGGACAGTGTAATTAAAAAGTGGATCTTTCCGCACTAGTAACACAATATACTATATTTTCATTCATGCAATTTTTTTAGGTTTTGTATTTTTCTTTTTTAGAATATTTAAAGAACTTCTTTGAAAGAATTTCTTCTCCTTCCGTGCAACTCGTAATAAAAGCCTTCAACGGTAAAAAAAATAGTAAAAAACCTCAACTGAAATTACCTTGAAACATGACAGTGCAATGTTTAGTGAGAAATAGTATCAGTTACCCTCAGCGTATCGTAATCCGAACTATCTTTCAATACGACGAGCTTGTAGGTCCCATCCGCGGCGAATTGCTCCACTGTATTGAAGGGTAAATACGATGATGAAACAGCGAGGAAGCTAATCAAGGACGCCGCATATGCGGCTGATACCACCAATGAGGATATGAATATTGATAGATATACGATTCTGAGGGGAGTTTCAGCTGGAAATTCTGCGTAAAGGATATAAGAAGAGGTAAATGTGTTGAAAAATACTCCAAAGTGGAAGGAATAGTACATTACATGCCCGAGTCTTGGAAAACATATCACCCTCCCCCACGTGCTTGCCATCCTCGCCTTCGGCTCGGAAGGCAATCTTGCACGTGGGGGACGGTGATCTGTTTTCCATGGCGAGGTGTATATATTAATTTCCGTCCCGGCGGGCGCAAAGTTAGATTTCTTAACTCTGACTTTGCGCCTACACCGAGACGGAAAATCGCGTTCTAACCACGTGAAGTAAAATAAAGGACCCTCAGCCACGTGCTTACCAACCTCGCCTTCGGCTCGGCTGGTAGTTGCACTGGCGGCTGAGGATCCTTTATTTTCCCTCCCTAGGTTAGAAATATACTATTTCGTGTCGAGGGACCTGCAAAACGCCAATTTCGTGGCGCACAGTGCCACGAAAATGGGGTTTTTCAGGTCCCGTGACACGAAAAAGCAATATCTCTAGTAGTCCGTTCGCTGTACCTGACCCTGTGTCAATTTAAGAGTCCCCGCATTTTGATGTATGAAATTTATATTTTTGGGTCGCTGATTCCGAATTTGTGAGTCTTTTTTCCAAAAAACCCGGCGTTCCATTTGTTATTAACAATTTAATTTTTTAAACGATCATATCACGGGAACAGTTACAGAACGAGAACAAAGTTTCAAACTAAAGATGTTTAACATGTCAAGACCTACATTTTTTATTATATAACTTTTTTCCCTAACTATGATAGACAAAAAGTTATCGGGGGTGGGAGCGAAGCGGGTGGCACGTTAACACTTGCGCAAGGCGTCGGCGCGCTCCGATGCGTTTATCGACAAAATCAATGGAGAGAGAAAAAAATAATTCAAATGAAAACTGCTCGCCATCAAATTTTACACATCTTTAGTTATTTGACATTTTTTCATACTCCTATCCATTAATAAGATATTAACACTTTTATCTCTATCTTGGAGCAAATTGCCTACAATATTATTGTTTATGACAGATTCGCACATAAGCGGATCGAGATACGAGAAAAAAATTCGCATGAAAATTGTTCCTCCTTAAAAAATAGATAGATTATTTTTTTGTCTTTTTGGCATACTTCTATTTCTGACAGATCAATCAATCACTCTATCGTAGTTAGGGAAAAAAGTTATGAAATAAAAATGTATATTTTTACATGCCAAACATCGTTTTTTTGAAACTATTTTCCCTATCTGCAACCGTTTCCGTGATATGATTGTTTAAATAATTAAATTGGCAACAACTAATGGAGCGACGAATTTTCTAAAAAAATAACGGAGAAATTCGGGATCAGCGACTCAAAAAATATAAGTTGTACACATCAATACTCGGGGACTCCGAAACTGATGCCGGATCAGTTCTAGCGAAATAGTATGTATACGAACTAGTAAGCGCGTGGACCCCTCGCGCTCTCATTTAACGGGCTATATCTCTGTCAGAAATGGAGATATATGTCAAAAAGACACTAAACTAATCTATCTATTTTTTAGGGGGAAACAATTTTCGTGGGAATTTTTTTCTCGTATCTCGAATCGCTTATGCGCGAAGCTGTCATAAATAATAACATTGTTGGTAATTTGCTCCATCATAGAGCATAAAAGTGTTAACATCTTATTAATGGATAGGAGAATGAAAAAATTTCAAACAACTAAAGATGTGTAAAATTTGATGGCGAGCATTTTTCATTCGAATCATCTTTTTCTATCTCCATTGATTTTGTCGATAAACGCATCGGAGCACCCCGACGCATTGCGCAAGTGCTAATGCGCCACCCGCTTCGCTCCCACCCCCGATAACTCTTTGGCTATCATAGTTAGGGAAAAAAGTTATAGAACAAAAAATGTGTGTCTTGACATGTGAAACATCTTTTGTTTGAAACATTTTTTCCCATTCTGTAACTGTTTCCGTGATATGATCGTTTAAAAAATTGAATTGTTAATAATAAATAGAACGCCGGATTTTGCGGAAAAGAGACTCACAAATTCGGAATCAGCGACCCAAAAAAAATAAATTTCATACATCAAAACGCGGGGACTCTTAGATTGGCACAGGATCAGGTACACCGTACGGACTATAGAGCAAATTACAATGTTCTTGTGGAAATTTTTGAGTTTTCACTGGACTTGTTGCATTTTTTACTGAAATTTTGAGAGTAAATTCTTAAAATTTAGAAATGTTCAATGGAAAATATTCTACAGAAATTCATCGGTCCAAATTTTTCAAGTTTCATCGTTTAATTTTGTTTTCAAGGAACGAAAATAATAAAAATAAAGTGGACAAAATTCAATGGAAAAATTAAATAAAAAGATGAAATCCTACTGATTCTTTCTATAAGTTTCTATTGAACATTTTCAATGAAAAAAAAACGCACGGTAAAGTTATGGAATTCTTCAATTGAATCGTCCAAAAACCAATAGAATTTTTATCAGAAGTTCAATGAAAATCTATGAAATTTTTCATAGAACTGTCCAAAAAGTCCAAAAAACGTGTGGTGTAATATTTGAATGGTCCTTAGTACCTGCTAAAGCTTGTTGACAGTAAATACCCCAGACATAAGAATAATGTTCAACGACTAGTGGAAAAAGGCTGAATTTCCTTCTCTTGTACTTGATGAGGGTCAGAAATAGAGGCATGGTGACGAGGAGCCCAATGATAACGACCCAAACATCCGTTGCAAACGCCTGCGAGCAAGAGAGAATGAGTGAAAGGAACATCAATTAAGACACGTGCGAAAAAATTTAATAGAAGAACCTAGTGTGAATTCGTTAGAAAATTCTATTCGATTTCCACTGAACTTTTCATTATTTTTCGCCGATGCTATTGAAGAATTTCGCAGCTTATCTGCGCGTTCTTGTTGTTAATAGAAATATTCAGTGCAAAATATTCTGTAAAAAAAAAATCAATAGAATTCCACTTTCCTATAGAACCTATTCAATTCACATATTTTCAATAAAAATTCCTCGGCTCAAATTTTACACCTTTTTTGTCTCACTTTTTTACATGAAAAGAATGGAGAATAGAGTGAAAAAGGAAAATTCATGTCGAGGAATTCCTATAGAAATTCTTCGGTTCAAATTTTTCAAGTTTTTTCGTTTGATTTTTTGTGACGAAAAAATAAGAAAAATAAAATGGAAACAATGCTTCCATTCGGAAGCAAAAATTAGAAAATTCACATCGAGAAATTCCTATGGAAAATATCTCAATATAAAAGATGGAATTCTACAGTTTTTCCAGAAAATAATTTCTATTGGACATTCTCTAAAGCCCCGCAATCCTTCAATGGAATTGGCCAAAAACTAATAGAACATTTGTTTTTTTGGATTTTTTTCATTAAAAATTCTCTGGTTATTCATAATCCCGGTTCCCCTTCTACCTCATTCAAATCCCATCCAATTATTTCCAATGACGTTGCAAAGATGTGGAACGCTATATAAATACGCTTCTTTAACGCAATACAATTTTCTATCGAATTTACTAGCTTTTTCTATGAAATATCTCCGTGCGTGGAGAACGAGAGGAACCAATCAACACCTTGAAATAGGCATTCCACTTGACGTGGGCACCATTAGGCTTCTGAATGTATATCCGGGCGTAGCCAACTGCAATGGGAATTGTGAAGTCAACCATGTCTAATCGTTTATGGGTCATGCTGAACTCCGAAATCGCCATGTCTGCCTCATTTCGCCGGAGGGATCCGATCACGCCACTCCACTTTGACGTTTCGGGGTTCCAACTTCCGTAGCCGATGGTCGTGATTATAGATGATATCGTGAAATTCATAGATCGAGAGAGCTCTTTCAGAAGGCCTCCTAGGAATCCAAAAACCTCCGCGTTTTTTTGCCAGATATAACCGGATCCCTGGAGCATGCGTAAAGTCTCAAACATTTTGGACTAATAGTAAATAACGCTGAAATTTTCAGTGAATGTTTCTCAAAAATGTGATTAAATCGTAACTTCAGCTGACGCAAAAATTTTAAGGGTTCATGAGGGTCAGGAAAGGTCAAGCATGGGTAGGAAAGATCAAAATAAGAGTTTGAAGGGCGTGGAAGGGTCCAAATAAGGGTTTGAAAGGTCAAAATAAGGGTCTGGAGAGGTTAAAGCAATGATATTGAAGAGTCAAAAAGACCTCGAAGGGTTAAAGTCAATAGCGAAGCGGTAAAGCGGGTTAAGTCGATTTTGACTTTTGGCCAGTTTTTGATTAATATCTGGGAATCTAAGAGAGATAGGAAAATTTTTATTTGAGGGGGATAGGGAATTTTTTGTGGGGCCAATTGAGAGTTATAACAAAGGTCGTGGCAAAAATTTTTCTATCTAATAATCTATCTAATAATTTTCTGAACAGATCAAAATAAGGGTCTGGAAGGGTTTGAATAACGATATTGGAACGTCAAAGTGACCTTCTCAAATGGTCTAAATAAGGGTTTGAAGGGCCTAGGAGTGTCCATATCAGTAGTGAAGCGGTAAAAGGAGATAAGTCAATTTTGACTATTGACCAGTTTTCAATCAATATCTCGGAATCTAAGGAAGATGGCAAAATTTTTCTTATAACCTTTTTTGTGGAGCCGATTGAGTGCTACAACAAATGTAATTATGAAAATTTCGCTATCTCCCTTAGATTCGGAAATATTGTTTAAAAACTCAACTGGGAGATAAGTCGACTTATCTCCGTTCACCACTTCACTACTGATATAAGGGTCTGAACGGTCAAAATGACGGTTTCGAAGGGTTAAAATAAGGGTATTGAAGGGTCAAAATGACCTTCTCGAAGGGTTAAAATAAGGATATTGAAAGGTCAAAATAATCTCAAGAGGTCAAAATAATCTCAAGAGGTCAAAATAAGAGCCCGGAAGGGGTTCAATAACGATATTGGAAAGTTAAAATGTTAAAATAAGGGTTTGAAGACCCTGGAAGGGTCCAAATAAGGGTCTGAAAGGTCAAAATAATCTTCTCAAGAGTTCAAAATAAGGGCCTGTAAGGTATCAAATAAGCATAGTCAAAGGTCAAAATGAGCTTCTCGAAGGGTGAAAATAAAAGTTTGAAAGGTTAAAATAAGGGCGGTCTGGCAGGATCAAAATAAGAGTCTGGAATCATAAAATAAGGATCTAAAAGGTCAAAACAAGGGTCTGGAAGGGTTAAAATGAGGATATTGAAAGGTCAAAACGAGCTTCTCGAAGGTTCTGAAAAGGTCCGAATTAATGCCAGGAAAGGGGAAAGTAAAGGGTAGGGTAAGGATCAGGATGAGCGTCAGAAATTAAGTTTTCATAGGTTGTTATGAAGGCCGTGCAGGGATTTATGGGCTTGTGTGAGGTCATATTGTTTATTATTCATTTTTGAAAATTGTCTTCCACTTTTAAATTAATTCTCCAGTTCACCTTAACAATAGCAACCCGAAACTTCCGACCTTCAACCGAAGATCGACGACTGTAAAGTGCATTCTCAGTGAACCACTCGATTTCGTTTCTCTCATCGTTCCACTTCCCGAGTTCTCGTGTATTCGTGTGGTTTTCCGTTTTCGACCACCACTCGTCGATAATCAACGAGTTGCAGCACAAGATGAGGGCCTCCGAGTTGAATCTGAGGTTCAACAGATTTTGATGCGGCGCATGACAGAATTTACAGACATCCGAATTGGTCTCGGCAGTGAACAGAAAGACCCATACGGGATAGCTCATGTCTATGGCTACTGCGAGTCGTGAAAAACGGTTGATTGCTTCCATTTTACCGAACAGGATGACAACGAGTGGTCGAACAGTTCGACTGGTGTAAAACTCCAGTCTATCTTTGAATTGTTCGAAGTTGACGAGACCCGTTGCTATCTTTTTTTCGGACAACATTCTCGTCACCCTCTGCCAGACCGTCAGTCTTGAAAATGCTGCAATAGTGAACTTGCATGAATTTTTCTTTTTCAATTTTTTAATGGTCCATTTTTTATTTATAAACACTAGGAATATTGTTCTTTAATTAATAAATGAGTGTCGAAAGATGAAGATTTCAAACGCTTTGAAACCCGTATAGCGCTGTCAAGCGCTAAACGCGCTTAGCGCGTTTGGCGCTTTCCAATAGCGCTATTTTGCAGGGACGCAAATGATAATTCATTTGCGTCCCTGCAAAATTAAAAATTTGATGAGGCCCTTTTGGTAAGCCATTTGGTAACCCTCGTGACGTTTGACTATCGTGAAATTTGACTATCCCCGTGTGAGTTGTTTGTTGTTTGACTCTCGTGTAATCTAACCATTCCCTTGTGACCCTCGTGGGCTACAATTCCGAGAGGAACTCTTTCCCCAGTTCTACAGTATATTATATTTTTTTTTAAATCATGCCGCCAGCATATAGCCTACTTGGCGGGTTATAGCCCGGAACAAAAATTCGCCCGCCAAAATGCATCCCAAATAGCCCTATCTGGCTACCCTGGCTCGAGCCAACCCAACTCCCATCTCTCCACACATTCGACCAATAGCGCTATCCAGGGCTGAAATTCCTACTCGTGTGGAACTGCTGCCGCCAGGCGCGAATGTGGAGAACTACTGTGCTATCTAGTCAGTGTGACGGATGGGCACAGCAGTGGGAGAGGTAAGGCAGACGAATGCGAAGTCTGTAAAATCGTAATGGTTGTAGGAAGGAAATATAAATAAAAAAAATTCAGTGAAAACGAGAAAGACTGATTTTTATTTCTTTTATGGATTTTCTTTCGAAAGATATTTTTCAACGATCTTTTTCTAAGGCTGTTTTTCATTTTATATTGAGATGCAATGAGCAATTCCTCGCGGGTAGCTTTCAATATCATCCAATACGTCTTTGCGATTGACTATTCCTTTAAGTCTGATCATGATCTCTATATTAATTTGTAACCAAACAGATATTTCGTTTGATCATTGATGTCTGAAGAAATTTCGGGATAAATTTTCTAAGAATGTCATTTCTTCGTGGTATATTGATTCAAATCTTAGTAATCGAAATGTTATTAGCTGAAATATTAGTAAGTGAAAAATCGTCTAGTTGAAAAAACATGGATTCAATTTAATATACATAAATTAAGTGCCAGCCTTGAATGATCAATTTTTCATTTATAAATACTAGAAATATTACTCGTTAATTAATAATTAAGTGTCGAAAGTTGAAGATTTCAAACGCTTTGAAATCACTAATGACGTCACAAGAGCGCTATCCAGCATTAGGTTTTAATAGGTTTAAAAAACGTCTTATTTTCAATTATTAATTATAAAATGTCTAGGTAATATTTCTCAATATTCTTTTTCGTTTATCTATCTACGGGTTATGTAGAATGGGTGAATGTAGAAATTAGGGAAAACTGAGTTCCATGCGAGTTCCCTATTAATTTTGTATTGAAGTCCAAATTAAATTATTAAATTTTAATTATTTCAATGGAGTATCAATGAATAATCCTATTTGAACATTTTCAATTTGTTAATCAATCGATAATTACAACTGGATATTCTTCATTACGATGACAATCAATAATGAAATGTAAAATATTTTAATTTTCCAAATAATACACGGATGAAAAAATTTCATAGAAAAATCTAACGAATTAGCTAGACAATTGTATTCGATTTCTATTGCACTTTCTATTAGTTTTTCGCCGATTCCATTGAAATATTTTCTATGGAAGTTCTTAATTAAAAGGAAAGAAAAATAGGATGAAGAAAACTTACAAAATTATTTATATTTTCATGCATGTAGATAATTAATTAATCTTCAATATTTTCATTAAACTATTAATGAAAAATTGTAATTAATTTTTTTTTCAATATAAATTAATCAAACCCAACTAGCCTATCAATATGATTGATTGACTGAAAATCAATTTTACTGGAATATTGATTTCTAGCTCATATGACTCGCCTTTGGCTCGGGCTACAAACTCATATTCGCCAGAAATTTGTTCTTCGGTCTAATGACGAAAAATATCGCGCGGTAAGCGCTGCGCCACACCAGCATAAATCGACATAATGATAAATTTGAATGATCTAGGAAAAATCTGAAAAAAATCAAGAGTAATCTAGATCGTATACTTGAAGAACTCCCTTGAAATTTTTTATGTTCAATGCTCCCCTAATTATATATTCAACCTCAAAGTTGCCATGTTTTTCTGAATATTCGCCTTTTACGCGGTACACTACCCAGAGTTACGGAATCAAAATTCGGAAATCTAACTACTTATAATATTCTTGGCGGACATTTTCATTGATAGGGCCTCCAGAAACTTCAAAATGAGATGTGAGAATTTTTTAAATGTTTCTGAGGCTTTGATGCAGTGCCATTTAACCGTCCATCACTCGCGCTCGACCGCCAGCCTTCATTCGTCACACAGTGAGTGCAGCGCCGCTAGGTCAAGCCGAGCGCGCTGTTGCCATCTCGGCGCTTGGCGCTATGCGTGCAATTGAAGTATGACGGTGAATGTAGCAACACTGTCGCTCGAGCGGTCGACAGACTCACTTGCACCGGCCGGCGCGGCGCCGCTTTTCTGTCCGCTAGATGTTTTTTTTTTTTTAGCTAAACAAATTTCCCGAGAAAAAAAACAGACAACGCTAAAGTTTAATAAAAGGGTTGAACTAGGAACTCTAATTTTTTTAGAATTTTTAAGCGTCGAGAAATACGCTACAATATAAAAAAACGAAAACGGGCGGTGCCGCGCTTATTGAGCGAGTGATCGAGGGTTAAGAAAATGGAAAAAGTGCAACCAACGGAGTATTAATCATTAATATGAAAATAAATAATGATCTAGGTCCACTTGCTACTCACATTGATAATTCACGCTGGATGCTATGATTATTCCCGCAGTACCATACGTATCATAGATATTCTTTATCAAAGATCCATAGTCAATCGTGTCAAGTCCATTGCTCGAATCCATGAGAGATGCAGCACCGAAAAACAACATCAACGTCATGCAGACTTTCATCTTTCAACGAAGTCTGAGATGTTGATCGTCCAATGTGGATTACCACAATGGCTCGAAGAAATCCCCAAATGTATGATGTATGCCCTTGTCTCTATTTACTTTTTTTGCTGTATTATCAAGGTCACGTTGGCGCCCTTGAGAGGCTACATATCTTCGCATCATTTACTTTGCACTCCGTCTATCAGTCAAGTATCGAAGAAATGAACATTTGAGACAATATTTTTCTTCCGTTCGTTGTTACCAGCGAGTTTGACACATCAGTCTCGCGAATGTCGCTGAATCAATTGGAATGGAAATAGAGAATTAATGAGATCTTCATTCCTACCCTGAAACCATTCAAAGCCACTTTTTCACATGTCTTCATATATGACTCCAACAAATTCATGCATCTGCGTTGAGGTATCATCAAAAACTACTCCAGATTCGTGTTAAGACGGGAGCTAGCAACTTTTTTATTTGCGCTTCCAGCTGTGTCTAGTCGTGCATTATGCATGACGATCGAATTCCACGTGTTCAGCCTGAGGAGATTTTCTCGATAACGTACGCCCTTTATCCGTCAAAATTAATAAATTATGGGATGAAATGGCGCATATAAATTTTCTTTTCCTATAAAATATTTTTTAATGACCATTTGTATTGAAGAAACGCAAGGAAAAGCTGCGGAGTTTTTTGATAAAATAGTAGATTTTTCAATAGAAGTCCAGTAGATTTGCGCTACATATTGGAAAATAATTTTGTTGTACGCATTCTCGTGCCCAACATATTTAAATGCACGCAAAAAATCGTGGAAAAATCTGGCGGATTCTATAGAAAATTCTATTGACAATTCGACTAGTTTTTTTATGATTGTTTTGAAGAATTATGCATTTTTGTTCATGGAAAATTTCTAATAGAAACTATTCTATAGGAAAAATCGGAATTTTATCTTTCTATACAAATTTTTCTATTGAGACATTTTCTGTAGAAATTTTTCGACATAAATTTTCCAAGGTTTCTTTATTCTATTTTTTATCTCTTTCCATTAATCCTCTATCAGTCGCTCAATGAGGGCGGCATCGTCCGTTTTCGCTTTTTTTTATTTTAGCGTGTTTCTCGACGCTTGAAAATTACGAAAAAATTAGACTTCCAAGTTCAGTCCTTTTATTAGGCATTGGCGCTATCTGTTTTTTTTCTCGGGAAATTTGCTTAGCTAAAAAAAGGAAAGAAACGTCGAACGCATAGAAAAGCGGGGCCGCACCGCCCGGTCGCGAGAGCGTCCCAGTGAACCCCTCGAGCGACAGTGGTGCTACATTCACTGCCACACTTGGAATGCGCGCATAGCGGTAAGCGCCAAGTTGGCAACAGCGCGCTCAGTTTAACCAGCGGCACTGCGCTAACCGTGCGATTGGAGACGCTATAAATCGCTGCGATGTCTGGTGGGTATCGCCTGCACTAAGAAAAATGGCCGTCCGATGGTTTATCGTTGGTACTTCAATTAATTACTTTACAAATCCTCAAGTTTTTCTAAAATATGACAACATCGGAACTTCGAGTACAACAAAAAAAAACAATACAGAAATGAATGAGTCGAAGAGGAACTACTACTGTCAGCTATAATGAGAGGGTTTGAACAAGTTTGAACGGGTAAACCATCGGTCGTCCATATGTTATGAGGGCGATCACGATGCCACCATCGGTAAATAGCGGTCCCAATGGATGAAGGCTGGCGGCCGAGCGCGAGTGATCGAGGGTTAAAAAAATCAATCTTGGAAAATTTGAACCGAGGCATTTCTATAGAGAATATAGAATCCTACCGATTTTTTCAGTAGAATATTTTTCATTGAACATTTCTGTTTAAAAAAAATGCGCAGGTGAGCTGCCTAATTTTCCAATAGAAGCGGCTAAAAACTAATAGAAAATTCAATAGAATTTTCTATACAATTCGCTATGTTTTCGTATGAAATTGTGAGATACAAATTTTCAGAGCAAACATATCTCCACATAAGAAAAAATTTAATTGAATTGAAAATTCCAGTAGTTTTTGGCCGATTCTATTGAAAAATTTCGTAGCTATACTGCGCTTTTTGTAGGAAATGTGCAATCAAAACTATTTTATAGAAAAAATCAATAAAATTTCATCTTTCTATACAACTTTTTCTATTGAGACATTTTCAATAGAAATTCCTGGACATAAATTTTCTTAGTTTGTTCTGCTCTGTTTTTCCTCTCTTCTCATTACGAAAATCAAACAAAAAAACTTGGAAAATTTGAGCCGAGGCATTTCTATTTCAAAAACTCGTAAAAGATTTAATAGTACGTGTCACCTCGATAAGAATTTATTCCTGTTTCTTCATATCTCCTCCGCGCCCTATAATTCACGAATCATAGAACAAATATTGGATGTAAATACACAGATTTAATAACAGATATTCGTATTCCGCATATTTTCATTCATTCCGTTATCCCCAATGAAATCGATGAGTCAGTATTTCCCATAAATATTTCCTTCTAGGGCTAGCTAAGATAGAGAGACAGAGAGAGCTACGAGACTGTAATGAAGAAAACAAAGTTATAATTGTTACTAACTCATAAGATTTATTTGTCTAATAGATCTATTTGTAATAATTATGTTCTATTTTGGTCTTCCCCTAGGAGATGTTTCCTATCTCAGGGAAATAAAAAATTGTTTCTATTCTATTCTATTCTAATGGCCATTGACTGGCTAGCCGGAAAAATTGAAAAAAATTAGACTTTTTCAATTGAAGTGTCTAATAGTGAATTTCGACATAAGGCCTGAAAAAACTTTTCTGGTGAATATGAGAAATATTCTCATATTCACCAGAATTCTCTCATAAAATATTCATGGGAGAAATGGTCACGCGTAACGTCCGTAAAGCGCTGTCTTACGGCCGGAATGACAAAAGAAAATATAGTAGTTTTTAAGCCTAGTCTGGTCACCTGACGGGAAAAAGCGACTTTAGTCGCCTTCGCGGGAGAGTACCGCCGTGTTATTTAGGCTCCAGCGTTGCCGAATCCACTCTACACTTCCCGGGCGCGTTTAGCGAGTTCCCAGCAACGTCGCGCAACAGGCAATTTCATTTAACACGGGAAAAAATTGTTCACCTGTTGGAAATAATTTTTTTTCTCCCAGAATTAAGGTTACAATATTTTTTAAAAAATACTAGAATTTTTCAGATACTTCAATTGACGAATTCAATTTTTCTCAAATTTTTCCGTCAACCAGTCAATGGCAAGGTGAATAAAACGACGTGTTGCGGCAATTCCCTCGCATGGTGACCAGTCTAGGGTTAAAACAACAGAATTCATTAAAAAAAGCAAATCGTTTCCATCAAATGAATCATTTTTCCCATTTTAAATGAATTCACCCGTTACCAGACGTTGCCGGAAACTCGCTTAACGCGCCCGGGCAGTATAGAGTGAATTCGGCAACGCCGGAGCCTAAGTAAGACGGCGGCTAATTCACGGGGAGGTGACTAAACAATCTGTTAACAATCGTTAACAATCTGTTGACTGAATCTAACTAAAATGATTATAATTTAACTCAAATATATCACCCTGAGAAATAGTATATTTCGTTACGAGTGCGGAAAAGTGTCGCCTTCGGCTCGTGCTATAAACCTCCCACGAGCCAAAAACACTTTTCCCACGAGTATCGAACGATATTTTTCATCACAATGTGCGGAAAAGGGACATTTTAGGCACGCGAAGCGTGCCTAAAAAGTTACTTTTTCGCACAGCGTGATGAAAAAAATTATTTTTGCCAAATATTCCTTTATTTGAGAGAAGCATTTATTTTTTCAAAATCGTATTTCGCCCATCAAGTTATTCCCAGGCGAGCCTGATTAGATTTCAATTATGACAGTCATGTTACTCTAGAGAATGTCTATGTTTTACATGATCTTGAATGAACTCCTTTAATGATTATTCATTTTTCCTAAATCGAGATACGCGGTAGCATATCGGCCAAGGAAAGTTTTGACCGACTGAGCAAAACATCAGGTTTGACCGACTGAGCCGAGAGCACCGCGTATCTATACACGACAGAACTTCCCCCTCCACTACCTCTAAATGATTTACATTCTGTATAATGAAAACGGGACGACAATAAATAAATCGCCTATGAGCTTTTCAACAGTGTAACTATGGTATTTTTTGGATTCTTATTTTCTAGAGAGAAGTTCGATTCATTTTTTAATGTTCATAATTATTGAGGGAGTTTACTTAAAGTCATAGCTAATGATCATTCTTCTAGAACTTCTAGAACAATATAATTGTCATAGTTGAAACCAGGGATAGCCATATCCATAAATTATTAAGCACTCAATTAGTTAATATTACTTTTAAACAGGGATGCCGCGAGACGAGACGATAAACTGCATCTTCTCGTCTCTCGCGTCTTGCGGCATCACTACTTTTAAATTTTAATTATTGAAGTAATCATTAATTTAAATAGTCAAATTTTGAATTATTCTTTAATCAGTAATTGAGTTAGGACGATTGATAATTATTTGGATAATCGGAAATCCCTTATAAGAAATTTAGTATTATCTACTTAATAGAAAATTCATAGTTCCATATTTTTGAATATTTAATTCATCATCAATTGGAAATTTAGATTATCAATTATTTTACTCTTTTTTAATTTCGATTAGCATATTTAAACCTTGAGTAATGTAAGTCGGAAATCCTTTCAATATTGAAGAATCGGAAGATTGATGGCCATCCCTGGGTGAAGCCTAATGAGGATTGCCTAGGAATAACTCGACTGGAGAAATACAGTCTTAAAAAAATAAATACTTCTCTTAACTAAATGGATATTTGGCAACAAAATATTTTTTTTTCTCAGTGTAGATCGAACAAGTAACAAATACGTGAATCGTCATGCAGAGTTCTTATAACTTCACCTTGCGGCCTTTGCAAACCAGTGATATTAAAATTATTATTATTGTTACTATTATGAAATGAGATATAATCTACTGGAGTGCTATGAATGAGAGTAT